CCCACAACAACAACCCTGTGAGGTAGGCTGGGCTGAGAGTCTGTGACTGGCGCAAAGTCACCCAGTTGGCTCCATGGCTGAGCGGGGACTAGAACCCAGATCCCCTGAGTCCCAGTCCCATGCTCTTAACCACTACGCCACACTGGCTCTCACCAGATTCCCTGGGCTCGGCTCCCTGGACGCTGGTCTGCTGTGTCGTGACTCCAAGGACAAGTTTGTGGCAAGTGCATCTAACATTCTCATGGTGCTCTTCAGGAACTGAGCCTTGCACAGGCAGCGCCCCTCTTTGGCGCCACGCACAACTTCCTTTGCTTGCTATGCGGAAGAAGGTTGCTGGCGGCACGACCCTCATTCTGTGAGCATTTGCAGGTTTCCTCTGCCAAGATTGGGCCGAGCCCAAGATGAAGACTGCAAATGCTCGAGCGATGGATTCTGCTGAGCTTCATCCAACTCGACCTCGTGTTGACCTCAATCTCTGCTAGTATGACCTACAGATGTGGATTATGGGTGTCACATCTGGACCAGAGCATCTGGAGGTCATCATATTTACAATTTGTTCCTTAGATTCTTCCAGGCAGCCAGCCGTGATCTAGGGACATACGGTCTCAACTGTGACTACCTGTATACCTACAATAATTAGTTGTATACCTACCTGTATACCAACTAATTATTTTCAGCATACATGTTAAGGTTTGCAAACATATCTAACAAGCCTGAGAGGGATTTTTTTAAAAATGTAATATAATGTATGGATCTCCAGTTCCAAGCAAACCTTGCATATTATATTCCAAATTGGTTTTTGATAGTGCTTCAAAAGTGGCTTATTGAGCAAGATGGCAAGTGTGGGCCTGTTTGCAGGAAACCCCCGGTGCCCAAACACAGCTCCTCGCACCATTCTGTGGATTGCAGCCAAAAGTGCTTTTGGGCTATCCCTTGGTTTGGGCTAGTTTGGAAAGAAATGCACTTGGGGCTGCTGGAACCAAGGAGAAGTTTGGACCCCCCAGAGCAGAGGAAGCAAGAAGCCCTTTTGTTAGGTCCCCTCCTGTCTGAAATATTTTTTTTCTGGTGTGGAGACAGTCTTGCTGCAAGCAGACAGAGAACTACAAGAGGGATCTTCTTACAATGTTAGCAACACCTGGTTCAAAGGAGGGTCCTACAGATGCATCCCCATAAAAGCCATCTGGATGACGTAGTTCTCCTTTGAGGGTCACACCTGGTTGGACTGTAGGAAGGCTCATGGTTGCAGCCAGGATCCAAGAACCTCACTGGTCCCTCTGATAGCTTGCCAAATGGCTGCTAGCTGGACACCCACCCATTCGTGCCATTCTGCAGAGAGTTTGAGGAGCAAGCAGGGTGGATGGCCTCTGGGTCCGTCTTTCCTTTCATTATGTTTGCATTAAACACATTGGACTGCTCTGGAAAGAAGAGCTGGAAGGCACACTTTGCTCTCTGTAATTAATATAACTTGTGTATCATTTTCCTAAATCCTTTCGGTGCCAAAGAATAAGTTGATGGACAGCTTGCACTGATTCTGTGGTATTTTCATTGCAACATTATTACACCCAAGAGTGCATGCGGGTGGCAGCAGAATTAATCCGGATTTACTTTTTGTTCGGTTTTTCTTTCTCTGGTTCCGTTCCTTTTGCCACAGTTTGTTCAGATTAGAGCTCTTGCTCAAATTAAAGAAATCTTAGTTGACCATGGTATGTGTTGGTTGGTTGGTTTAAAGGGTGATCTTATGCATGCTTAGATAAGAAAAGAGCCTAAAAGTCTCAGTATGACATACTGGGAATTGTAGGCCTCTTTTCATGTCTAAGCATGCCTAGGATTGTGTTCTTAATTACATGTGAGTTTTAAAAAGTTCTGAAGTGCAAGACATGCTTTCTGTTTTAGATTATTCACATAACAGACCATCTAATTAAAAGAGGCATCTCTTCCTGTTTGGAAGCTCATGGGGGCCATCTTTTCTCAGAAGGTGCTTGGCATCAGTATTTTTTCTAAGCACTTACCTTAGCAGGAACACTTTAAACGCAAAACAAGCTGCTTCTGAGTAATGGCATTTAGTTGCTCAAATGTTTAAATCAATTAATTTAACCAATTAATTGTTTTCATGTTACAGCCAAAATTTAGTGCATCGCTACGAGGGGGCCTAGGAATTTCTTCTTTGAGAAAGGAAGGGAGAGAACCATGTTGCTTAGAATATCGGTCAACAAATGGTTGGTTTCACTGGGTGACCAGAAGTTCCGGTATTATGAAAGAGGGGTAAAAATCCTATCCATTCTCTGCACACTTTGCAAAAATATATACGCCTCTATCCTGTCCCTCCAATCACATTCTTTTTAAACTAAAAAGCCCCAAATTTTGTACCCTTTCCTACTAGAGGAGTTGCTTCAGTACCTGGGTCATTTTGGTTGCCCTTTTCTACATCTTTTCCAACTTCATAATATTCTGTTTTGTATACAGTGACTGAACCTGTACATACTGTTCCAAATCTGTCTGCACTGAAGATCTGTATAAAGTCGTCGTCGTCATCATCATCATTAAAAACTTTTGTATGCCATCCTTTCTATAAATACCTCAGGATGGCTTGCAGCAATTTAAAAGAACAATTTTAAAAAGCATCTAATAATGTCCAATAACAGTGTAAAACAATAAATAAACATTAAATAAATCAGGTAAAGTCAAAACAAAACAAAGCAAAAGCTACTGCATAACCATTAGTATCAGCAATTGTGTGTATGATTCATTTCCTCAAAATCTCCAACATAGAAATTCACAATTTTCTCAGCAGCCACAGGCTGGGTTGACATGACAACCCAGAAATCTTTTCCTGGTCAGTCATGACCATTTCAGATCCCATCAGTGTATATGTGAAAGTATGTTCCCCCACTCCTGGGTGCCCATCATAGGCTTATAATGAACCCTATGTGCTGTTTTAATGCTCATTCTTCTAGTATGCAAAGGCCTTTTTGGAACTTTGCATGGTCCTTTAAAGAAACCATGCTCATATTTCCCATCTGAGTATTTGGTCTTAATTCAGAAAAATGTGTAACTGGTTTGAAACTTCCAAATGCAATCCTAAACGGGGTGGATTTGATTTAAATCACTAGTCGGTAAGACTAAATTTAAATCAAGCTTTTCTACATAATCGCACACATGCCTGCCTTATCTGTCGGTGGAAGAACTTCATTAAAATATTCCCAAACTGGGTCTCTTTTATGGTCTGCTGCCATTATAGGTTTTCTCCCACAGGGAAAGAATAATATGATAAATCTCAGGCTATACACAAAGAGATCTAAAGACTTCTGGAGTATTCTGCTCAGAAGGGTTCACTTTCATTTTTACTGCTTGCCTCTCCCTCCTCACACTTAGCTTCTTGCACAAATTTATTCTACTTCCAGTCATCTTCTTCTGTTCATTGAATTTCTTGAAACTTAGCACTTAAGAGGTAAAGGGTTGATTCTGTATAGATAGTTTTGCAAAGGAACAATGGGATTAATGTCTTTCTCACCTCTGCATGTTTATTTTATAACATCTTTGCTGTGAAGAAGAGGCAGGTGACCTCTGCAGGCCCAAATTCACAGTTTTGAGAACTGTTAAACCAAGCATCTGTGATGATATTTTCTAGAGAGAAAAAATGCTCGATATTTATTTATTTATTTATTTATTTATTAAGACATTTTTATGCCGCCCCATTCACCGAAGTCTCGGGACGGCTTACAACAATCTTACAGAAACCTCTAGAAGAGCATGACATTGTGAATGGATTGATCGAATTCATTTACCAACAAATTTAAACATTGCATGAATATACAGCCTCATGCTACATAATTAAAAACTAATCCTTATTTCATTATGAATAACCTCTATTATGGAACTTGAATAGACCAAGGATCTTTAGATAATTTTTCCTCAAAAAGTTTTTTTTATTTTAAAACATCCAATTTAAATATAAAGCCCAATTTAATTTAAAAATCTGATTTAAAATTTAAAAATCTATTTTTATGTTTTTAATTGATTTGTAAAATTGATTTGTATTTTAATTGATTTGTATTTCAATGTATTTTATCATGTTGTAAGCCGCCCCGAGGTTTCGGCAAGGGGCGGCATAGAAATGTTATAATAATAATAATAATAATAATAATAATAATAATAAATAAACTTACAAGGGAGTAAATCCCATTGAAAACAGTGGAACATAATTCTGAAAACATGTATTGCTTTGAATGGGATGGCAGTCATTCTATGCAGATGTACTTGAGAGAGGGATTCTTTTCATTTTTTCTCCTCAACTCTGTTTGAGCCTCATGAGATTTTTGAAAGAAGTTTGTAAGGACAGACAAGGCTCTGTTGTTCCAAAACGGGGTGGAGCGTAGGGTTTGAATTCTCACCAGAGCTGTGCAAGCAGCAAAACCTTCAGTGTCTCTTATTCTGACCCGATATTGTGCTGGAATGGGAGACCCAAGTTCCAATCCCCATTCAGTGAGAAACCTCACTAAGCAAATTGCTGTATTTCTGCCTAACCTACTTTGCAAGTTTATTCTTTGAGTTTGTGAGCAAGGAACATTTAGCTACTTTCTGTGCTAGAAGGAAGACTCTTCTTCAGAAAAGACTGTTTCCGTTTTCACAACATGGGAAAAGATAATGGTGGTGATTTGCCACTGTTTAACATTAATGCCAGACGCATAATGCATTTTAATATAAAAGCAACATAACCTAAGCCCAAAGGGCTTAGGTCTGATGGGGATGTGCAGTGTATTGTTTCTTGGACTGACCGTTCCTGCTTGCTAGTAGGCAATGTCCTTTGTGAATGCTGTTCATCCAAATAAAGAAAAAGGCAGCTCTGCGTACATAGAAAACACAAGAAGGAAACAAGTTCTAGGTCAGCCTCCTTGGGATGCTTGTTTTCCACTCAGAGGGAGATTTTAGCATAAGGCCCTAGTTTTGGAATCTAGTGTGCATGCCATGTGAATTCACAGTCCTTTCTTTGTCACCTGCAGTGAGTCGGATGGCAACCCCAGCACAGAAGATGAGTCCAGTAAGGGCCAGGAAGACTTGTCTCCGCACCCCCTGGCCAGCACCTCTGACGGAACTGCCAGTTTGAGTCTTCCTAGCCACATGGAGCCGCTCTATATGCAGCAGCTGGGAAGCACCAAAATCTCTCTAAGTTCTTCCGGTGTTTTGTTGAATGGAAACTTAGTGCCCTCCAGTCAGTCACCCGTCTTTCTGAACGGTACCTCTTTCATTCAGGGGCCCAACGGCGTGCTTCTCAACGGGGTCAGTGTGGGGGCTTCGCAAGCTGGATCAACCAACCCACCCAAAACATCTCCAAACACTTTAAGCAATGGAGTGGCCATGAGCGACATCATGACCTCTTCTTCAGAAGATGTGAAAGACTTCAAAATCCTCCAGGCTTCCATGTCCAACTCGGCAGCGACGACAACGACGACGTACAGCCCCAGTTCCGTACCCATCTCTTTCCCAGGCTTGATCCCAAGCATGGAGGTGAAAAGGGAGGAAAGTGAAGAAGCCATTGCGTCGCAAGATGGCAGCTCCGTGGTTACTTTTACCGCTCCTGTCCAAATAAACCAGTATGGCGTTGTCCAGATACCCAATCCAGCAACCAGTGGCCAGTTACTCAATGGAGGCATCAGTTTTTCCCCAGTGCAACTGCCTCCCATTTCAGCAGCAGCTTCCCAAGGTAAAAACCGTTTTGTATTCAGTTAACATTTAACCTGAAGACCAACTTCCCCTGTATGAATGTGCCCAAGATGTGGCCTTTCTATGTTTATTACTGCCATTAGAGGCATGTTTGATGGAGAGGTGAAGCAGGGCTTCTCCGGGAATGTTCCCAAACTCTGGAGTTCCCTGTCAGGGAGGTTAAGGTTGATCTACTTTCTGTTATATCTCTCCAGGGAGACAAAGCGATTTTCCTGCAGGCGGGCTTTTGGCATGTAAGACCGTCCATTGCCTAAGCAGTTTTAATTAGTTAGCTGCTATTTGTTTACTGTTTTGAAGAATGGTTCACTTTGTTTGTATGTCCTGCTTTAATTAATGTTTTTGTTTCTAACCTGCATTTTGTTGTTAGGTACCTAAGGCAACTTAAATTAATTAAAATATCTGGCTGTAGTTACTTTTAGATGTTCCCACCCCCACCCCAAAAAAAACATGTTCACAGACACACATATCCTGGTGAGCAGATTTGCAGGGGGTGTGGAATCGCCTGTTTTAGCAGGCATCAAGATCTTAGGACCCAGCCCCATCTTTCCTTTTCATTGCAGTGTGTGGGCTGCAATTAACAGGTCGTTTCTGCTGGTTTCAGAGCAGCCCCACTGATTACTATAAAATTAAGGGCAAATACCTAGTGGGGTAATCTTGAGAAGGATTTATTTGTATCAGTCATGCCAACAACGTCAAATAGTGCAGCTTCTAGCAAAGGTGGAGAGAGAGCATGCTTGACTGTGTTAATAAACAGCATTTATATGTTCCTCTCTGGGTGTTCAGAGTGCTTCAGGGATAAGAAGAATCTGTTGATTTTTTTCCACAAAAAGAATAATTTTTCACATACTCTTTTTTCCAGTCCTGTTTCTGCTTTGTATGCATTTGAGATACATATGGATATATAGTATATGCATGCATGCTTTTCTCTTAATAACTCTGTTTTGTAATATAATTATTACAAATAATTATAATAGAATTATTTTTGTAAACAATATTCCCTTCTGTGTTACTTTCCCTAGCACACTCACTTTTGTGCATACTTAGCCCAATAAACATATTATGGTGCAAGCTTTGTGATCAGGGATCTGTATTGCTAAATTAGGGAAATGCAAATACCAAAAGATAGTGTATTTGCATTTCCCTAATGCGCTTTGCTTTTTTTTTTTTTTTTTTTTTGGAAGTGTGAACAAATTTCTTGTCCGTCCCTTTCAACCCTACAAAGTCGATCTCTTATCCCTACGTTGCAGATAGGGAAGTTCAGGCCATCTAGTGAGTCCTTGATAAAGGCTAGGTTTGAACCAAGGACTTGCGTATTTCTAACCAGATTTGTTCCCAGTTGAATTCCAGTGTATTCAGTGGGACTTGCTACCAAGCAAGTCCATGTAGAATTGGACCCTTGCAGGGCACTCCTTTAAATGTCTGCTTAGTCGTAAGCCTCCCGCATAAGTGAGTGAAGCTTACTTCCAAGTAGTGTGTTTAGGATCACACCCTTTTAGGACCACAACCCTGTGTGTATTCAAGCCGAAAAAAGCCCTTTCCTCGCAGCATGTCCCAATCAGCTGTGCCTTCCAGGAGTTTCTCCTGCCTTAACATGCACCAGACTGTGCCTTGAATCATGATGCTGCATTTCTTATTATTACAGATTTTTTAGCGCCACTCTTTCTCCAAGGACCTCAGGGTGTCGTGCATTGTATCCCCCCCCCCCCATGTCTCATTGTCACTGGGTTTTTATTCTCTGGTGGGTAAGGGCACTTGATCGTGGATCAAGATTGCCCACAGAGATCCTGGCTGACATAGCCTGTGCCTTGCTGAACTGTGGGTGCAGCTTCTTAAATCAAGGCAGAGAGGATATCTCAGCCCTGACCTTTCCCTTTACTAACAGAAGCACAAGTGTGCTAAACAGTATTTGCATTTGTCCACTATTGGCATTCTCCTGTAGTTTCCCAGGCATCGGGAAGGGCAGAGCTGGAAATCCCACCAAGACTTCCAGTTGTTTCCTGAACCTTCTCTGGGTTTCCCATGGGCACATTCCCACTTCCCTTCTTCCTCGTCCTTTCCCTCCCTCCCCCCCCCCCCCCCCCCCCCTGCCCCGCCCCCCCCCCCCCCCCCCCCCCCTCCCCCCCCCCCCCCCCCCCCCCCCCGTGGAAGTTGAGTTTCCCAGGCTTGGGCTGAGTCTTCCATTCAGCCTCAAAGTCTGTGCCCACTGCAGGTTTTGGAAGGCCTTCTGCCCAGCATCCTTGCCCAGGGAGTCTGCCTTCCCACTGGCATACTCACCCACCACTCTTGCTCCTCCTCCTCCTCCTTACTCCTGGCTTGCTCAGTGTGCAGGGAGCAAAGAGGTCTCTCCTCCTGCTCCCCCTTCTCATCACCACCTCTGTTGTCGGGGTCAGAGTGAGCAACAGGGGACCCAGCAGGTTTCCTCTGTGAGAGCAAGAGAGCTTCCGAGGGCTTGGATCAGTGCGCCCCGCGGGTGTGAGCCTTGAGCTGATGCCCACGCATGCGTGCATGTGATCTTGGGAATACCCTTTTGGAACACCTTTCTCAGTTTGTCACAATATCTATAGCAGGGTGTCCAACCCGAGGCTCGCGGGCCACATGTGGCCCACAATGGCTATGAATGCTGCCCAACCCAAAATCGTAAACTCACTCAAAACATTATGAGATTTTTTTGCAACTTTTTTTGGTAATTCGACCGTGTGGTTCTCAAGTGTGAATTTTGTAGACAGTGTGGTGTCCCAATGTCAGATAAAATAAATGTACATATGCTCTCTTTGCTTATCAGTTTTTGTTAGTGTTTGTGTATTTAATGTGCGGCCCAAGACAGTTCTCCCAGTGTGGCCCAGAGAAGCCAAAGGTTGGACATCCCTGATCGAAAGCATTCTTAATACATCAAGGTAGGGGTGTGTGAGCTGCACATCACTGGATTCACCCCAGGCTTCTAGTCTGCCTTTGAACAGGCCTCCAGTACCACGCTCAATAGATCTTCTTGCCCAGTTACCACCTTGCAAAGACATCACCCTGCCAACAAAAGTGTGTATAGTCAAGGCTACGGTTTTCCCAGTTGCAATGTATGGCTGTGAAAGCTGGACCATAAGAAAGGCTGAGCGCCAAAGGACTGAGGCCTTTGAATTGTGGTGCTGGAGGAGACTCCTGCGAGTCCCTTGGACCGCGAGGCGATCAAACCAGTCAGTCCTAGAGGAGATCAACCCGGTCTGCTCTTTAGAAGGCCAGATCCTGAAAATGAAACTCAAATACTTTGGCCACCTAATGAGAAGGAAGAAGGAGAAGACCCTGATGCTGGGAACAATTGACGGCAAAAGGAGAAGGGGACGGCAGAGGATGAGGTGGCTGGATGGAGTCACTGAAGCAGATGGTGTGAGCTTAGGTGGACTTCAGGAGATGGTGGAGGACAGGAAGGCCTGGAGGAATGTTGTCCATGGGGTCATGATGGGTTGGACACGACTTCGCAACAAAAGATTGGACAGGAATCCCAGCGGCTGAGCAGGGGGTCTGTCCTGATCAAGTGGCCTGGTCACTATGGTCATCCGATGGGATGCTCTTGATGGTCCCCTATGGACTTGTGGCACAGTTGGAGTCCACCTGGTGTGGAGCCTTCAGTGTGGTGGCCCCTTTTAGGCATGAATATTGTTTTCAGAACTTGCTGGAGATGCTTTTATTTCAGCGAGACTTGCTCTGACCCGCTGGGTTAGGACGGACATGTTGTGTTCTCATGAGCCAGTCCACAGGAACATTATCAAGGACACTGAGCTATGTAAAATTCTGAGTGGACCAAAACTAATAAAGCTAGTGCTTTTCCTGGTATGAAAAATCTAAGGCAGGCTTCCCCAAACCCAATCCCTTGTCTGTATTTTCTGGGGTTGGATCCATTCTGCAAAGCACTGATCTCGGAATGACTGATCCTAGGACTTTGCACCAGCAGCCTGAAAGCCGACAGGAATCCGGGGTGGGCTTCATGAGTCAATTGTGTGCTCTAGCTTGTTCCTGTTGACACCATTGCCTCTTGAGTAATTGATCAGGGGCTGTATGTTGGCAGTGGACGAGGCCAATGCCAAATGAGAACGATGTACCCATTCCTCTCTCTGCCATCCCTTTTCTTGCAGAGGTTCATAGCTGAGAACTGATGGTCGCCCACCCTGCATGGAGGCACAACCAGATGGTTGGTTTGCACTGGCAGAATAACCCGCCAATTGCTTAATAAGGATCTACCATAGTCTATGGCAGTTTCACAGTAAATGGCTGCCATTTATTTAATGTTTTCAGAAAAATTAACTGAAATATTTATAAGCCTACTTTTTATCTTAATGATTCTGAACACATTCAGTGAAGATTACAATTTCGCTCAGCTAAGCAGAAATGAATGTATTATAAGAAGAACCAAATAGAATATTAAAGGCAAACTCATGTCTAGATGGAACTTCATAATGCCTGTGTTTGCAGGCAGCTCTGTCTGTCCCTCCTGTATGAAGCCAAAGAGTAGAGAGGTCCGCCTGGCGCCGTCGTTATTTGTTTTTCGGCGCCAGGCTAAGACCTTTGTATTTAAAACTTATTTTAATTGTTAAATTATTTGTATTTATAGGATTTTACATTTTTAGCCGAGATGCACCGGAGGTTTTTAAATAATTTTTTATTGTTATATTGTTATTTATTTATGTATTTTGTTTCTGTTGTGAGCTGCCCCGAGGCTTCGTTGTGATGGGGGTGGCATAAAAATGTTTTAAATAAATAAATAAATAAATTCCGGTTACATGCTTTGCCAGCCAAAGATACCCAGTTCAGTAACTGTTGTATGCTCTTAGTAGAATCAGATTGCAGGTGATGGGGACGTTCCCCAGCCTGAGAACTTGGAGAGCCTCTGTCCTGCCGGGAAGACCATGCAGGATTCGGTGGACCAATGGCACAATCTCATAACAAAGGCACCTTTCTTTGTTAATATTGTTTAGAGTCATGGTCTTAAAAGCAGAAGGGGCCTGCTTCTGCAGCAGACAGGCAAGAGTTATTGTCCTCCAGGGCTTGTCAAACTTTATCCACCCCAGTCAGCTTGGGCAGTAGTTAGAAAGATGGGAGTTGCTGTTCCAACTTCATTTGGAAGGTCATGGGTTCTGCACCGATCACTGTGGGCCTCCTATATTTAGGCCCCCAAATTGTTGAGCTTATAACTAACATGAGGTCAGTTCTGTGGAGTGGAGCAAACTGAAACGAAGCTAGGGACTGGCTTGGAGAAGGGCTCTGCAGAGGTGGCCAGCAGTGAAGGTGAACTGAACCGCTTGAAGCATCTGAGACTAGGCTGATCATGTAGGAAATTGATTTTAGAATCAATGGTTGCTCTAGCAGTGGAAAGTGTCTCAGCAGATCTCAATCTGGGGCTTTTGCATAGCAGTATCCATTCATTACAGTTCCGTCCTGCGTTTACCTGAAGCTCCTAGTTATTTTCCTCAAAAGATGCTGATTGGGTCTGTCTCCAGTTTGACTTTGGTCAGGTGCGTAGGGATTACTTCATTGGCTGAACATGCCCAAACTCTTAAATGCCAGGACAGGTTGAAAAAGTGCCTTTCAGTCTTATAGTCATCAGCAGATTGGATTTCTTTGAGCATCACATTTTGAGGCAAAAAAGACAGGGGAAGAAGTCTTTGCAACACAGTCCTATGCATATTTACTCTGAAACTCTAACCCTTTGCTCTAAATTCTACTGTTTTCAGTCGGGTTTACTGCTGGGTAGGTGTATGGGTGGCATAGAAATTTTCTAAATAAATAAATATATCAGGGGTCTCAAACTCAACTGACCTGGGGGCCGCTGGAAGTAGAGTCTGGGTGAGGTTGGGCCGCATCAAGTATTCCATCACCGTGGTGGTGGGGGGCCGCTCATCCCGCGTGGCTCCCGGAGGCCGGCCCGGGTGCCACCAGCGCTTTGAAGGCCGCAGGGCCCTCCCCCATGCCCCCCCATCCCAGCGCGCAGCTTAGAGGGAACATTGCGCCCAGGGTAACGACTCACGCAGATGCGTGTGAAAAAAACGCGCGGGCCGCACTATCACTAAACTTTGATATCAAGTGGGGGCCACAAAATATTGTCCCACGAGCCGCAATTGGCCCGCGGGCCGCGAGTTTGAGACCCCTGGTGTATATAGAATTGTGTCTAATTTTGTAAATCATTAATATTGGAAGCCATCTCTTACCAGGCGTTACTTGAAAGAGAGAGGTTCACTGTTTAAAAACAGATCAGTAACCGTGAAAGGCTAGCATTAACCACAACTCCCTTGCAAGACAGGCATATCTGAGTGAAGTTCATGAGTGAGTGAGGATTTGAATCTTGGTTTCTCTGCACTCCAGGTTCAGCTGTGTCTCAGCCGTGAATTCCCCACTAGTTCCAAGAGATGGGAGCAAAATGAGAGGGCCGGATGGTTCATGAGCAGGACAGAAACTTTGTTTATTGAACAAGGCCTTCTTGCCTTCCTCTTCCCTCTTCAACAAGGGTGTGGAATCTCGGTCTGAGGGCCAAATTCCTTCACAGAGAGGCTCTCAGGCTGCTAAAGGCAAAGGGGCTGAGCCACAAGACTTAGACTCCGAGCCTGTTTCAGCCTAAAGCTCTTTCTGCCAGTAACTAAGCCCTAGGAGGGGAGGATTTAACTTTTTAGAATGGAAAAGAAATGGCACAAGGGCCCAGCAGCTTCTGAATAAGCTGTGCTTGGGAGAAAGGGGCACTCCAGAGGGTCTGACTGGGCCACCAGAGCAGCCAGATTGGGAGTGGGAAACATGTCTCTTTTCGCCTTGAGTGCCCAGGATCCTGCACCACTGGTTGTGCTGCTTGATGGTGGTTGTGGATGAACTTTTGGAGGTCCACAATTGTTTGTAGCTTCTGGGGATCTCGAAAATGGGTTTCTGAGGGTTTGGAGACTCTCTGGAAAAAATAGCATGTGCGTTATTGGTGGGTGGTGGGAAACGACGGCTGGAAGGGGGAATAGCCCAGAATCAGGACTCCCTCCCTGCAGTGTGGAGCACCTTATGCTCATTCAGCTGCAGCCTGGTATCTAAACCTAGACGAGAGCAGGGACTGTTTTCTCAAGTGCCATCATAGAATAAACATCTGCATCCCCACTAAGTCAGTCTTTTTACATATAAAGAACACCAGGAAAGCAAATCTCCAGTATCACACATATTAGAAATGTGTCTGTCAGGTGGAACCAGCTTTCTTAATCGTGTATTTAAAAAGGTCTCCCTGAATTGAATTTCAATGGTGTCCAGTCACTTATTAGAAAAAGCCATGCGTTTTGCTTCTCCTGTCCCCGTAGTTCTCCTGTGTTTGAAAGAGCTTTATAAGTTGTTCTTTTCAGCTTTATTCCTAGTTGGGGTAGAATTTGCATTCCAGTGTCTTGCAACAACGAATCTCTCTGTGACTCACATGGCTGCACTGAAATTGTGTTTCCTTTTTGGGTACTGAGTCTCTTTCATTATTGAAAGAGCACATCAAAGTGTAAGGGAATGGATGCCTTCAGTTATATAAATCATTAGGGTCCAGTTGTTCAACGCTTTTTGACAATGCCCGTCCCCCGCTCCATGGATACAGCTGCCTATAATTGTGTCACAAAACCAACATCATCCAGTGGATGAATTGTATACTTCAAACTTCCACAACTTGGTGCCCTTCAGTTGCTTTGGGCTACAATTCCCATCAGCCCCAGTCAGCATGGAATGCTGGATGTTGCAGTCCCAAGTGTCTCGAGGGCACCAGTCTTGGGAAGGCTGGTATGTTTTACCAAATTGATCTAGCAGTGTGTTTTGAAGACTTTCCTGAGGGTCAGATCTACGTCCTTGATACATTAAGTTGAGGAGGCCTGACACCCAATATTTAGCTGGCTGTTTCAAGGAATGTGAGATTTGCTGTTGCTTTTAGTAGCTTCTGGGATCATGCGTACCTCTCCTCTCCATCCATTTCCTTCTCTGGCCCAGTACAGGTGAAATGACGTGGTTTGCTCGTACTGTTAAGAACAACCCAGGGTCAGAAAGTGGCTTCTGATCCTGGCCTGTCATCAAAGTATAGTTCAAGCAATTTGATTATGTAGGTAGTTAAAATATTTTCATGTTCCTAAAATATTATAGTGTGGAGAAAGAGACATTCTTCTGCCTCTCCCTTAACACTCGAACCCAGGGTCATCCCATGAAGCTTACTGGGAGAGGTCTGGAGCAGATAAAAGCAAGGACTCAGTGTATACTTAAGCTGTGGGGTTTGCCGCCATGGGAAGTGGGGGTGGCCGCCAACCTGGATGGCTTTAAAGGGGGATTGGGGAGGTTCGTGAGGATGCTCTGGGGCTTCTAGCCTTGCTGGCCCTGGGCTACCTCCTTCACCAAGCTGGCCTGCCTGCATTCACCAGTTGTGGAGCCTGGGGAGGAGGAGGTCTTGCACCCATTCTGCCTGGGGGATCTTTTGGGCAGCTGGGTTTCCCCTGTGTGTACAGAGTGCTGGACAGGATGGACTTTTGGCCTGATCCAGCATGGCTTGTCTTATGTTCTTATTTTCATATTTTAACTTTTGAGTGAGGCCAGGTCAATTTTTAAAGCAATAAGAAAACAATTAAATAAAAGAGCAGCGTAAGTTTTAAAATTATAGGGACAGTAAAAACTCCCATTTTGTAAAATAAAGTGGAGCATGGTAGGACGCTGCATGTAATTTGAAAGCAGATGTTTTTAAACTGCTTGTCCTTCATTTCATCTTTTCTTGATTCATCTGAACGATTCCTTCTTTCCCCCCTCTCACCATTGAGTGACTGGGCCATGGGTGGTGGTGGTTGAAATGTGGATCTTGTGTGAACCCAACCAAGCCAGCAAACCATGATGAACAGTCCATCGTTCATAACCCAATAATAAATCACAAGTTCTCTTCATGAGTTGTTTGTGGTTGTGCTAAAAACCCAAGCTGCATCAACAATGCATACTTCAATGACAAGCACAATTCTGAGTTCTTGTACATGCATATAAACCCCTAAACGGCTTGAGTCTGGGTACCTCAAGGATTGCCTTTTCCTACCTGTACATTAAGTGGGAAGGACCTTCTTCAGGAGCCATTCCCAAGGGAGATAAGGTGGATGCTGGCTAGGAGAAGGGCCTTCTTGGTGGCAGCACCACACCTCAGGAATAGGAGCTGTGCCTGGCACCATCACTGCTAGCATTTTGGCCCCAGGCAAAGACTTGCCTTTTCTCTGGCTATTTTTAACAATTGATATAATAGTACTCTAGTTTTAAATTGACCCTAGTTTTAGTTGATTTTAGTTTAAATAGTCTTATTCTAATGTTCTGTATAATCCTTTAATTTTGATATATTTTATATGTGGGTTATGTTGTTTTGCGTAGGGGGAGTTAATGTAAATGATATTAGAAGGATGTATGGCTTTAAGTATTGTGAGATGCACGGAGAGTCCAGATATGGGCTATTGCAGCAGGATACAAATTGAAATATTGAATACATACGTCCGCGCATGCATAACCCACACTCAGCCCATGAATGTGGGGTTATGTTGTTTGAACCCAGCTAACGCATCTCTTCTTACCTTGAGAAATGTGCTTAAGACCAACCAGAGATCGTGAGCATTAGAGCAGCTCAGTGTTGAGTTGCCGAGTGTGCGTCCACGACACCAGGGCAGCTCATGATAGTTTCACTGCCACCATCAAATACACAGTTTTCTTACTGGCGATTTTTCATGGTGAAAAATCTCTCCCATTTGAACTTGAGGAATGTACATTCTTTAGACAGTCCTGTTCTTTAAAAGCCATGGAAAAGGCAGAGGGGTGTGTTTGTTTGTGTCCTTAACTTCTGCACTTTATTTGACACAACTTTACGGCTTTCCCTTTTGTGTCTCCTTGTCCCTCCCTCTTCCACAGGCAATATTTCAATAAATCAAAGCACACCGAGCAGTGGCACCTTTACAAATGATTCTTCAAGCGCCCAACAAGGGAAGGTGTTTTTCAGCTCGCTCGCTCCCGTGGTGTACACAGTCCCAAATTCAAGCCAGGTGATTGGACCAGTGAAACAAGAAGGACTAGAAACGAGCTTGGTGTTTTCCCAAGTCATGCCACTGGGTCAGAATGCCCAACTTCATGCAAATCTACCTTCAGACAACCTGGCAGGTGGGGGCCTCCAGGCGGGCGCCTCCTCCTTAGTCAATGTGACTCTGGCGCATAACTTTTCCCTAGGACCGCCCACTCTTTTAAATACAGACGAACTCAGCTCGGCCGTGTCTGACAGCCCCCCATTGTCGTCCCCGGTGACCAGTGGGGCCACCGTGGTGTCCGTCAGCAGCGCCAACTATGCAACCCTCCAGAACTGCTCGCTCCTCACTGGCCATGAGCTGATGTCCATGTCGGCAGCACCGTCCCCTCTCGGGGGAATCGGCCCAGCAACTGGCAATCACGTGGGGTCCCACCCGCTGGTGCAAGTGCACCCCACTTTCTCTCGAGAGCAGCGCTTGATCCTGCAGTCCATTCCCAGCCTGAAGGAAAATTTCTTGTCCGATTCCGAGAACAAATCGGCAAGCAACTTAACCAAATATGTGATGAGCAATATGGTTGATGCAATTTGTGAAGAGCTGGGAACAGACAAAAAGGAGCTGGCCAAACTCCAGACAGTACAGATGGATGAAGATATGCAAGACTTGTAAAAAAATTAAATGTTTGATTCACATTTCAGTGGAGGAGTCTCTTCCCCATGAGGCTGTATAAGCACAGAGTGTTGTTTTCTCTTCTAGTAAAAAAAGTGCATACAGGACCCCCCCCCCCCCAAAAAAGCACATTTGAAGGGTCCACTTTAAGTCAGTGGAAGCTTCCACCAGGAATCAAGCTTGCATCGTTTGGAAAGAATTTAACCTTTGCTAAATATGCTTTAAGAGAACCTTAAAGGGGTGGAGTGAAATGCAGGTCTGATAAGGGATGGTTTGGCTTGCTAATATTATCCAGTTTCATTAGACATGCAACACTTCAGTAGGAACAATTACCTTTCTGAAAAGACTGGGGGCAGGGGAAAGTCATCTCGCTTTTTGGTCTGGATGCCAGTTTACTTGTAGATGGTCGGCGTTCATGAGATGATCATAGAATCATTTGGTTTTAAAATAAAAAATATGAATACTCTAGAATTATACCTCACAAGCTACTGTTACTTTCTTGGTTGAGGTTAAGAAAGCAAGCACAATTGCAAATAAGAAGTTTTGCTGATTATCTTGTTTGTTTTTCCACCAGAATCTAAAGGTTCGGCATTCTTGGCGTTTGATGTTTTAAGGTATCTCCTTTCCCTCCCTCCCTCCCTCCCTCCCTCCCTCCCTCTTTCTTTCTTTCT